TGCCTGTGGTCAGATTCTGAGAAATTCCCCAGATTTCTGCTAGTGAGCATTTTTTCACATGTGGTAAGTCAAGAATGTTCCTGTTCCTTGTTGTATCCAAATGCTTCTGCTACAGAGGCTCCTCCCAGGGCTGCCATGAGGGTAGGATGGGCAAGGGGATGGACAACCTTTTCTAAACTGGCAGCTGGGAGTTTGGTAGAATGAAGAATCTTAAGTCCCACCCCAACTCCCTCTGGGTGATTTGTTTGCAACGTAACAGCTTCAGAAGTGCTGGGCTGGGGGGCAACTGTCCTCAACAGTGACCCCTTCACAATTCCTAACCCATAATGGGGTCATTATGACCTCATTGTCACACTCCACCCATCTCCATCGCTGGTATGGGCTACAAGCTACATGCATGTCCCTGGACTGGTGGTTCAGGAGAGAAGTAAAGGGTACTGCAGCCTCATCTTGAAGGAGCCCTAACTACCTGCATGCTTCCAGTCCTCTCTTTCCCGCCTTTTGCAGCCTCTGCCCCCTCTAGTCTCTGAGCTGTTGTCTCTAAAGTCTGAGTTTCCAGCACCTGGCACAGATTCAAGCATGTGGCACACTCAGAATTTATGTTGTTGCCACCCTAAAATACAATCTGTATCCTCCTGCCCCTTGTATCTCCATCCCCCTCCCTACTCCAAGCCACCATTATTATTAGTAGTAGTATTAGTATTAGTATTGGCCGGGGCTGGGTTTGAACCTGCCACCTCCGGCATATGGGACTGGCACCCTACCCTTTTGAGCCGCAGGCGCCACCCCGCCACTGTTATTTTTCTCCCAGATGGTTGCAGTAGCCACATGTATGCTCTGGCCCAATGTCATCATTCCATCTAGGGAGATCCTTTCCAAAGGCAAATGTGATCGCATCACCCTTGTCAGGGGAAGACAAGGAGAGACAGGAAACCTGTCACAGATTGAAGGGCATAGAGGAGATAGGGTGGCTGTATGCAATGTGGGATGCTGGATTGGAAGAGAAAAGGGTATTAGTGGAAACACTGATTAATCCCACTAAAGTCTGTAGCTTAGTGAATAGTATTGTAAAGATATTAGTGTTTTGTGTTTCATCATCACACTGTGGTTATATATGATGCTAGCATTAGGAGAACCCGGATGGGGGTTACAATAGAAACTCTCTATATGATCTTTGCAATTCTTCTATAAATCTAAGATTATTTCAAAACAAAAAGCTTTTTAAAAGCCAAAAAAGTTTTCATGGGCTCCCAAATGCATGTGAACCAAACCCAGATATCCCAGAGTTGCAAGGCTCTGCCAGGTCTGCTGTGTCCCCACCCTGCCTAGCCTCAGCAGCCCCCATAGTCCCTCCCCCACTCTTCCTCCTCCCAGTTTCTCAGAATCCATAGACACGACCCCTCTCTAGGGCCTGTGTTCCTGCTGCTGCCTCTGTCTGATCAGCTCTTCCCTTCTGGCTCCTCTTGGCCTTGGGGTCTCTCCTCAGAGAGGCCTTCCCTGGTCCTTCTCCTTCACCCCTGTCGATCTAGTTATTTGTTTAACTGCTCTCTCCCCAGCAAGTTCCCTTCAGGTGGGGTCCCTGCCTTCTTTTCTATCCCTTCCATGGGGCAGAGTCAATGCCTGGCCGCTGTAGGTGCTTGGTGTACACTGTGCTGTATCCCCTAGCTCTGTGGACCACCTTATTCTGGACCCTCCCCGCCTTCTGGGTATGAGTGCTGGCTGAGATGGTGTTTGCCACCACTCCCAGGGACCCCTGGCCCCAGAACCGCCTGTTTCCCACTATCTCAAGCCTCCTTTGAACCTGGTCCACCTAGGATCTGACTTCATTCCTGCAGCCCCTTAGTGGGTACACAGCTGGCCCTCCAGATGTCTGTGGGCATTCTGTATCCTGTCCCTCAGCCACCCGATCCCTGCACAGCCTGCCCCATGGACTGTGCTGTGCAAACTGGGAGGTGCCCAGAGAGAGGAGTCAAGGAGTCCCAAGCACCAGAGAGCTGGCTAATTCCTCCTGGGTGGTCCCCTGCCTGCAATTCAGAAACCTACCACCAGGTGGGTTGCGGTGACAGCCTCTAATGAACTGGGTCACATAGGAGGCTCCTTTACCTGCTGCCCAAGAGCAAATACAAAATCCCCCTCTTTCAGACCATTTGCACTCCAGGGAGGCATTTGGTTCCTCATGTTATTACTTCTTCCCATGAACCCTCCTCCCTGGGCCTGACACGGGCAGGAGGTGGGAGCAGGATGACCAGATCTGATTAATGTTTTGAAAAGATGGAGGGAGAAAGGCCTGAAAGGGACAGAAATGTGACTTAGAGCTCTGGAAAGAATCCCAAGCAGCAGTAGGTTGGCCTGGAGTTGTCTTGGAGATGGCAAGAAAGGGACAGATGTGGGGTGTGTTCTGCAGAAGCACTAATGGGAATGCCAATGACTTGGATATAAAGAGTAAGCCAAAAAAGCTTACTGGGATTACTTAATATTTGGGGGCTGAGCTTCCAGCCAGCCAGACAGTGACATTAAAACCAGTTTGGTGGAGGATCAAGTTGCTGGTCACCCCTGCACCAGCCTCCTCTCCACACCTTTCTCGTGCTCGACCTGCTTTCAGCCCCGAACCTTCTTTCCACTCCTTAAACGCCCCAGCTCTGTTCACTCTTTAACACCTCTGACCTGCCAACTCCTGCCCACTCACTCAGATCTCAACCTCCCCCCAAAGGCCCCGCTTGTCTACCCAGTCACTCACTCTCACAGCTCCTCCTTCCAATTCTCCAAATAGCAGTTACCAGTCTCTGATTTTGGTTTTGTTTTTGTTTTTTTTTTACAGTTTTTGGCCAGGGCTGGGTTTGAACCCACCACCTCTGGCATATGGGGCCAGCGCCCTACTCACTGAGCCACAGGCGCTGCCCCTGGGATTTTGTTTTTGTTTGTTTTTGAGTCAGTTTCATTCTCTCACCCTGAGGAGAGTTCCATGGCATCACAGCTCATAGCAGCCTCAAGTTCTTGGGCTCAAGTGATCCTCTTGCCTCAGTTTTTCTATTTTTAGTAGAGACAGGGTCTCACTATTGCTTAGGCTATTCTCTAACACCTGAGCTCAAGTGATCTATCCACCTCTGCCTCCCAGAATGCTAGGATTATAGGAGTGAGCCACTGTCCCCTGCCTCTGATCTATTTTTTTTTAACATGCTTTTTGTCCTCCTTTCTGCCACTGGGTTGTCAGCTCCATAAGGGTGGGGCCTTGCCTGTCTTATTCACTGCTGTTTCTTCAGCACTGGACAGAGCCTGACACTACTTGATGAGTGACACAGGAGTGCTGTGCTGAGCTGGAGGTGCTGTCATACACCCAGTGCAGAGCAGGGCTGTAGAGAGGAACTGTTGTTCAAGGAAGAAATCAAGGCAGAGGCAAGGACTCAGGAGTACCATGGGCCAAGGAGCTGGGTGTACAGGAAGAGAACACAAGGGGCCTAGGACTGGGCTCTGGGACATTGGATATTTAAAAGTGGGAGGAGAGTTATATTTAAAAGAAGAGGAGGTGTCAGCAAAGATGACCAAGATGGAGTGGCCAGTGAGGATGAAGAAGGGGTCCAGGGAGCCCAGAGTGAGCCTGTGTAAAACACTTGCTTAGCATAATGCCCAGAACATCCAGAAAAGTGGGGCATTGCTTTAGACTGCTGTCTCACTACTATCTCATCTATTCAGCCACGATCAACCTATGGGCAGTAAGCTAACTAAAGAGTATCTCCTCCGTGCCGAAGACACCATAGCTCAAAACCCTGCCATCCCCTGCCCTGACCCTTTACAGAGCTCAAAGGGTGACAGCCTCAAAACCTCCTCCTCAGGGCACTCAAATCCGCCATGGCCAGCACTGGGCACATACCATCCCCAGCCCTCTGCTCTCAGCAAAAGACACAGCCCTCCATGCAGACACCCAGGCCAGGAGCTGAGACCACGTATCCTCCTAGTTCAGATCCCACTAAGTCCACTTCCTAAATCTCTTTCCTTCTCTGTCCCCTCCTCGCCCAGTGCTGGTGGCCCTAATCCAGGTTTCTTTCTCTCACCTGGGTGACTGCAATAGATGAGCGAAGTGTGGCAGGAACAGTATGACCATCACATAGCTCTCTTTCCCATAGTCACCAGTTGTTAAGTTTGTCTCTTGTCTCATTTGTTCCATCCATCCATCCATCCACCATATCTCTCCCCTCCCATCTCCTTACCTCTCACTATCTATCTTGTTGACCCACATGTGAGATAGTTGAAGCCATCCTAACACTTCCCCCCAACCCTTCCATAGGCATCTCCCAAGAACAAAGACATTCTCCTTCCTAACCACAGTGTCACTGATATGATGCTGTCAACCAACACACAGTCCATACAAATTGCCCCAGTTGTCCCAGTAATGCTGGTCATAGCTCTAGCTTCTGTCTAGGATCCCACCAGGGTGACACATGGCATGTCACTTCTTTATCTCTGTAGCCACTTTACATCAAGAACAGTTCCCCACGGTGGTGCCTGTGGCTCAGTGAGTATGACACTGGGCCCACGTACCGAAGGTGGTGAGTTTGAAACTGGCCCCGGCCAAACTGCAACAACAACAACAACAACAAATAGCCCGGAGTGGCACCTGTGGCTCAGTGGGTAGGGCACCAGGCTCATATGCGGAGGGGGGCGGGTTTGAACCCGGCCCCAGCCAAACTGCAACAACAACAATAAAAATAGCCAGGCATTGTGGTGGGCACCTATAGTACCAGCTACTCCAGAGGCTGAGGCAAGAGAATCACCTAAGCCCAGGATCTGGAAGTTGCTGTTAACTGTGATGCCTCAGCACTTTACTAAGGGCGATAAAGTGAGACTCTGTCTCTTAAAAAAAAAAAAAAACAAACAAAAAAACAGAGCAGTTCCCCAGCCCTTTTTTGTCTTTCATAAAGCGCCCAGTTATTTTGCAGAATGTCTTTCAATTTGGGGAGTGTCTGGTGTTTTGTGAGTTAGATGATACAGGCAGTACATTTTTAGCAGGATAGTTTGGAAGGAAAGTGATGCAGTGTCCACCCTGAGCATCACATCAGGGGTGTCTGATGCCAGTCTGCCCCACTCTGAGGATGAGACCACTTGGTTATGGGGGTGTGGTGCCTGCCAGATCTCCCACCCTAAGCGTGCCTTTTCCCTTTGTATTCAACAGGTAATCTGAGGAGTGATACTTTGAGATCACGAATATCCTGTTCCCCAAAAACCTTTCACCCAGGGATTTAGCTTCAGCCAGTGATTCCTGCCTGAACCAGTCAACACCACAGCTGCTGCAGCAGTCTCTTAACTGGTCTCTCACCCTTCAGCCTCAGTTCATCCTTTTCACTTTTTCCCTAGTAAACATCCTAAGGCACAGGTTTAATGACATGACTCTACTCCTCAAAAACCTTTGGTGGCCTCCTACTACTTAGAGAAGAAAATCCAAAGTCCTAGGTAGGCTCCTGAGCCCTGGCATAGTCTGGCTCAACCGTACACCCTGATCTATGCTCCAGGATGCTGCTTAGTTACACCTCCAAGCCTTTGCCCAGGTTGTTTGTTCAGCTAGCCTGCCACTGTTTCTCCAGAAGACCCTCCTCTGTGAACCAGTGAGATGGCGAATGAGGAGTCCCAGGGCATCACCACACCCAGGTCACAGGCACCGACCTGGCAGGACTCACCCTCCTTTCTCTGGCCTGCAGTGTTTCCTCCCACAGGAGGCTTGGTGGGGAGAGATGGAGCCCTTTGGGCACTGTCAGATTTGGGCCCCTCCTGGGGCCTCCGTGGGATCATGACGGTGAGCTTGTCCCAGCTGGGGGCCTCCTCCTGCCTTTTGACAGTGTCCTGGTCCTGCCAGAGAAAGGGAGGAAATGTGTATTTGGGGAGAAGAAATGTCCCAGGAGCTATACCCTAAGCATGAGGGCAGAGAAGGAAGGGAAGGGAACTGACATTTAAAGAGCATTCACTGTATGCCAGAGACACATTTAAAGAGTATTCACTGTATGCTAGAGACACCACCCCCCCGGGGGCCAGAGAAAAGTGGGTTAAAATCCCAGGTGCAGCCGGAGGTGGTGGGTTCAAACCCAGCCCGGCCAAAAAAAAAAATCCCAGGTGCAAGCCTAGGCACAGTGGCTCATGCCTGTAATCCTAGCACTCTGGGAGGCCTACATGAGTAGATTGCTTGAGCTCAAGAGTTCAAACCCAGGCTCGGCGCCCGTGGCTCAAGCGGCTAAGGCATCAGCCACATACACCTAAGGTGCTGGGTTCGAATCCAGCCTGGACCCGCCAAACAACAATAATGGCTGCAACCAAAAAAGAGCCGGGTGTTGTGGCAGGCGCCTGTGGTCCCAGCTACTTGGGAGGCTGAGGCAG